AAGTGCACTATGTTTCCAATTAATACATGTATTCTTTTGAGTATTAATCTTATTTAAGTTTTGCTGAATACTTTGTCACTTCATCATTTATGAGTACCAAAATTAATTCCATCTTGAAATCCCTATCGAGAACACTGTACGCGTCCAATAATATTCCAACTCGACTCGTAAAACAAATTGTTAAAGTATAAATTCAGGATTCCATGTATAGTCGATATGAAATTTTTGTCACACAACTAAAACAACTTGTCATATTTTCTCTGGAGTCGATAACGCTAGGAGATTTAAAATCGACGGTGTACATAAATTGATAGACATTTTGAGGGGTTTTGATTTTTGTGTGTGAGAATAAATTTCATGTTATACATTGAATTATTATGTCAGGAATAAATTAGCTCTCATAGTTTCCCGTCAGTTGCGATGGCTGGCCACTCCAATTGACTATTTGAACTTTTTTAACTTCATGAAAAAACAAATAGTTAATGTTAATTGGAAGCAGCTTTTAATACAAATCATTGTTTTAATTCATTGCAATTTTTACAACTACACTGTATTTCTTATAAAAACTAAAAAATACTTCATTTGGAAAATAATGCATGAATTTAGAAAAAAAAAAGAAAAAGGGTTTGACTTTGAACCCGTTCAAAGAACTTGATTCCCGTTCGAGGGGAAAATGAACAGAGAATTTAGGCACCATAAAAGTCTAGCACCATCATTGCCGTCCTTGCACCAACCATCACCATTCGCGACTATTTTCTTTAATCATCACAATTTGTCACTTCCATTCCCTTGAAATCTAGCTCCCAAACAATAACCATACCCGACCCCGAAACCAATAATAACTCAAAGATCGTCAATCTCTCCATTCCGTGACGACAAACTCACATTGTTGTTACTATACGTTTAACACTTAAAGAACGGCCAGAAGACTACAATGATTATATTACATTTATTATAATAATCCAGCATTTAAGAGCCTTTCCAATATGATGGACCAAACTCAAATCGCTAGGCGTTTATAACACTGAAATTGGTCGTTTTTTCCCTAATCTGTACATTTTTTTCGAGAAATTTGTCTTGGACATCCTTAAAAGTTTTACTGGGTAAATTATTCATACGAGAATTAGTTGACCGTTTTAAGAAAGGCAAAATCCTCATAAAAATGAGAATTAAAAATGAGAATTCTTTTTCAAACTATAAATTCTCTCTGGCCCAGGTTTAGAATTTCATTTGGGAAAATGAAATCTGCTGAGTTTTTTTCCCCTTCTACAGTTTTTGGTTGAGCCATCACACAGTATTAGAATATCATAGTTCATTGGCCCAATAGTTCCATCAACTTGAAAATTGATTTGCAGTGGATTGATCTACAAGTAGCTGTAGCCCTTGTTTGGGTCCATTTTAATGGAAATTTGGAGGGAAATGAATTTTGGAATAGTGATTTTTTGGAGAATGTGTAATTAAAAAAATAGATTTACGTATAATATTATGGTATGAAAGAATGTGTGATTGAAAATGAATTTTGAAAAAATGAAATTTCTACAAAGAAAAATAAAAATTTACACCTCAAAAATAGAAGAGGGCTGCCCCTAAATCCGCCACCTCGTATGGGAAAAGATATATGACCAGGTAGCACCCCTGGATGGCCAGGGCCACCATGCAGCAGGGCTCAACCTCGTATTCAGTTAGTATTCCAACAAGCTACAACATGTGGATAGTGTAGCCCGTATTGTTGTTCGTTGTCAATTTATACTAATACAAACTTTTAATGCAACACGTGATTGCAACAATATCTTGCCATAAATTTTGTGCCTCATAAGCACAACACATGAAACATGGTTCAATACTCGTGGATTCTCATTCGAGCATTGCCCACTCTACCAGTTGTTTGTCCTTTGTAAACATAAACCGCATGAAATGTACTTTGGGTAAATATTCAATTGGAAAGAGTTATTACCCCCATAAGCACCATCAATTTTTCCATGTGGTCAACCTTCCAATGAATATCATTACTAGTAGGAGCATCTCCAACAGATTTCAATTGCATGGAATGCGCAAATGGCCCATAAGGGTACATAATGCCATGCGAGATGGTTATGCATCCATGCGCCTTTTCTCGAGCACCTGATCGTGCATCTACTCACATAGTTTTAGCTTTAAGATGACCACGTCGGTAGTGAAGGCACCCACAGTTAATCCGCAAACAAGGTACACCACTTAAAGAGGCAATTGCACTTTATTGCCTTCTTAAAATAATAGCCATTTTTTATAATCAAGTTGACAAGGAAAAACTCAACTGACATGTATGGATATAGGAAAAAAAATACATTATCGGCATTATTTTAGAGCAAAATATATAAAAATACATTATTGGCATTATTTTAGAGCTATATATGAAAAACAAGGAAATATTACTAAAATATTCAGAAAAATTCGGAAACAATCGGAACCAAGCAAACAAATTAAGAATGGGCCGATTCAGTGAAAAGTCGATTTATTTACCTCCAAAGCTTTTCTTAATTTTTTTCTACTAGTAGTAGTTTAACTATGAATTGATTCTAGTTTAACACTTTAAATTCTTTGCCCTTGTATGATATAGATATTTTAAGAAGTAATTCTTTTTAAAAAAATATTTTTTTATGATTATGTGTGAGTTTAAAATATAGGAAAAATTATGAAAAAAATGTCAACACTACGATCTCGATTCTTGTCTTTCAGTCACCCAGTGATATAGGATGGTATTAGCGATTTTTCTCGAAAACCGCTACTCAATGCACCCCCCCCC